TTTCATCAGCAAAAAATTCCGAAGGACAATGGAAGATGTGAGAACCAGGAGAGGTGCTGACGTAGCTTCAGATCACTACCTAGTTGTAGCCAATTTAAAACTGAAGCTAAAAAATAACTGGACAAGTGGACAAACAGCACTACAAAGGTTCAATACAGCCTTCCTTCGAGATACTGACAAACTCAATGAATTCAAGATAGCTCTCAACAACAGGTTCCAAGCCTTACAAGATCTACTGCAAGAGGAAGAAACTAGTATGGAGGACAACTGGAAAGGCATCAAGGAAGCATTAACTTCAACGTGGCGAGAGGTTCTGGGTTTAAAGAAATACCATTATAAGGAATGGATCTCTACAGAAACACTGGACAAGATCAAAGAAAGGAAGAAAAAGAAGACAGCAATTAACAACAGCCGAACACGAGCAGAGAAAGTCCAAGCACAAGCTGAATACATAGAAGCAAACAAACAAGTGAAGAGGAGCATTAGAGCCGACAGGAAGAAATACGTGGAAGAACTAGCAACGACGGCAGAAAAAGCTGCTAGAGAAGGAAATATGAAACAGCTCTACGATACAACGAAGAAACTATCAGGGAAATACAGTAAACCAGAGAGGCCGGTCAAAGACAAAGAACAGCGTAACAGGTGGGTAGAATACTTCGAGGAACTCCTGAATAGGCCGGCTCCAATGAATCCACCGGACATCGAAGCAGCACACATAGATCTTCCTATAGATGTCAACCCACCAACGACGGAAGAAATTAGAATGGCCGTCAGACAAATCAAGAACGGGAAAGCAGCAGGACCCGAAAACATGCCAGCTGAAGCACTGAAATCAGACATCAAAGCAACCACAATCATGCTTTACCCTCTATTCAAAAAGATTTGGGAGGAGGAACAAGTTCCAATGGACTGGAAAGAAGGACACCTCATCAAGATTCCAAAGAAAGGAGATCTGAGCAAATGTGAAAACTACAGAGGCATTACACTACTGTCAATACCAGGGAAAGTCTTTAACAGAGTGTTGCTGAACCGGATGAAACACGCAGTAGACGCCCAACTTCGAGATCAACAAGCTAGATTCCGTAAGGATCGGTCGTGCACAGACCAAATTGCAACACTACGGATCATCGTCGAACCATCAGTTGAGTGGAACTCATCACTATACATCAACTTCATTGATTATGAAAAGGCATTTGACAGTGTAGATAGGAGGACATTGTGGAAACTTCTTCGACACTACGGAGTTCCTGAGAATATTGTCAATATTATCCGGAACTCATACGACGGACTACAGTGCAAAGTAGTGCATGGAGGACAGCTGACAGATGCATTCCAAGTAAGGACCGGAGTCAGACAAGGCTGTTTACTCTCTCCCTTCCTCTTTCTTCTGGTGGTCGACTGGATTATGAGGACCTCGACATCTGAAGGAAAACACGGAATACAATGGACTTCGCAGATGACCTAGCCCTCCTATCACGTACACACGAACAGATGCAGATGAAGACAGACAGTGTAGCAGCAGTCTCTGCATCAGTAGGCCTCAGCATACACAAAGGGAAAACGAAGGTCCTCAAATTCAAAGCGGAGAACAGTAATCCAATCACTCTTGATGGTGAAACTCTGGAAGATGTAGAATCCTTCACATACCTGGGAAGCATCATCGATGAACAAGGAGGTTCAGATGCAGACGTAAAGGCGAGGATTTGCAAAGCAAGCGTCGCATTCCTACAATTGAAGAACATATGGAACTCAAAACAACTTTCAACCAATATCAAAGTGAGAATCTTCAATACGAACGTCAAGGCAGTTCTACTGTATGGAGCTGAAACTTGGAGTACTACAACAACCACCATCAAGAAAGTACAAGTATTTATAAATAGCTGTCTACGCAAGATACTCAACATCCATTGGCCGGATACCATCAGCAATAGCCTTCTGTGGGAGAGAACAAACCAACTTCCAGCTGAAGAGGAAATTAGGAAAAGACGATGGAAATGGATAGGACATACATTACGCAAATCGTCAAACTGCATCACGAGGCAAGCCCTAACTTGGAATCCTGAGGGGAAGCGAAAAAGAGGAAGGCCAAAGAACATATTGCGTCGGATAATAGAAGCAGATATGAAAAGGATGAATTACAACTGGACGGAGCTAGAAAGAATTGCCCAGGACAGGGTTGGATGGAGAATGCTGGTGAACGGCCTATGCTCCTTCACGAGGAGTAACAGGCGTAAGTAAGTAACCACTAGAATCGATTGCAACACAAGCATTTAAGTATTTGTCACATGAGAAAGCGACAGGAAATATAGTTTATTTAATTTTGACATCATTTATATTTCAGCTTGTAAGATCTCATCGCTCGTTCCTTTCAGCACTCAGTTAGTTAAGAAATTAACCTAATCATATGTTGCCTGGACTAAAGAAATAATCCTGTTTCACCTAGACAGTTTTATGGAGAGTTTGTTTACTTGAAAAGAGTCTTTACTAAAAAAAACTGATACCTATGTATTGTAGATTCTATATGTATCCCATCTATGTAGTTCAGTCACTAATACAGATTGAGTTTACAATAACCATGAAATGGTCCAGTTTAAATTTTTGTACAGCTTATCTTCACTCAGTCAGCTAAAGAAATTATGGCAGTTAAGTTTTAGAAAGTGTCTTGTTAGCGAAACAAAGATAATGGTGAAATAAATAACTTTCCATGTCTTGATCCAATGGCTAAGAATAAGACCAACAGAAAATGGTTAATAACCTTTAACAGATTAAATTTATGTGAAACTGCGCTTATCTTTGTTGTACGACAACATTTCAACTTTGTTGTTATGCTGAGCAGAAGACGTGGGAATTCGCTTATGTATAAATATGATAATATTACTAATAACTTGAAAGTCGGAACGTCGAAACATTACTATTTTATAGTGAAACCCTTAGGAATGTCATTAAGTAGTTGTGCACAGTAGTCCATAGATTAAAGCTAGTAAAATAAAGTTGATTGTTGCCTTTTGTCAACTGACTAGAATATCTGTTGTACAACCAAATAAAAAGTCTTCTTGTGTGATTATAGACGATGTTCAACTGAATCGCTAGACAATTACTATGGTATTTTATGCCATAAATTTCTCCATTGTGTAAATTCAAACGACACATGTGAGTAAACAATAATCTTTTCTATTAGGTCTTCATCAGGCTTCATTCTAACGTACAGTATATGTCTACATGAAAAATATTATATCAATTAGGGAGATTCGTCTACTTGTTTCTCTTCACCCCTTTCCTATCCCCACTTCACCAATTGTGTATTTAAGCTCACTTCTTATTGATTAATTTTAATTGTTATTACTATAATAAGTCTATTTTCCCGGATCTTGACCTACCTATCTGCCAACCGGTATTTTAAATATTTATCCAAACTGTTACCATTCATATCGTGAATAGCACACCAGTCAGCATACTACCAATTTTTACATTTCACTTATTATAATTAATTATGTAACGTATTTCATTGTTATGACTGACTGCAATATTCCCTTGATTGGGTTAATACCTTTTATAAATGCATATAGACATTACTACATATTGGAGTAAAGCCTGATCAAGATCTAAATGAAAACTATATCTGAAGTTCAAACAGATTTACACACTTTTGGTCAAATATAAATTATTTGTAAAAACATGTATTCACATTTATTTTCTTTTGTATACTTCCGCATAGCTAAATTCTGTTTAAAAGTAATGACAAAATGTCAGCTAACAGTTTGTAGGAAGTAACTATCTATAGATGAATTTCTTGAATAAGTCCCAATACTGTTAAACACAGAGTCTTAGTAGGGCTATAGTTAAGAATTATAATCTATTTCTAAAATACTAATTAACACAGTACAAAAACGCAAAACATTAGTCTTTTGTAAAGAGAGCGATAAACATACTCATACCGAACAGTAGCAGAGATGACAAAATGAATCAATCAGAAGTCATGTTTATATAATAATAAGTGCAATTTCATAGTTGGTAGTTAAATAAAAATGATTATAATAATATCCAGTCCGGGATTAAACGAGTCGTTTAACTCAAATACTATTATCAGTATAGGGTTATGGAGATTGTTGAGTTTTCATAGAGATCATGGAGCGACCAATGATAGATCACCACTGAAAACTTGAAAGCACTGGACGTTCCATATCAGGACGAAACGGCCGTCTAGTGCTTCCAGGTTTTCAGTGGCGATCTAACGTTGATCGGTTCATGATCTCAAATTTTATTCGTTGATTCAGTTTTATCGATAGAGACTAACATTGTTTCCCTTTAATGATAGTTTAGTTATTAACTGACGGATTTTGTTGCTGATTAGAAATAATGAAACAAGATTAATGGAAAACATATTGTTGTGGTGCTATATCGCTCATTGTAACATCCTGAGGTTCCATCATACTTTAGTCAGAAATACAGAAAATATCAGAAATTTATCAGTGAGGTAATCTATCGCTTATAATATAAAAATTAACTAGTGTATAAGACAAACACCATGAAACTTGGGCAACATTTATTTGCAACATCAACTGCCAAGCAAGTACAGTACGTTGTATTTTGCCACTGAACACAACTATTTACCTTTTATTTCAGAAAACACTTTTTCTGGATGATTATCACAGATATGTTTTATTACCAGAGTTTACTACTGGATATAACACTTGTGTATGATTCAGAGTAAGTCGCCGGATCTATTACTGTGATTTCAGTCAATGCATTACTCTCAAATCATATTTATTGTTAGTGTTCAGCATCCGGGATAGAATAAAATAAACAGAAAGTCTGATACGAATAAATGCGCAACATTAACCGAATTTTGTATAAGAACATGTAACCATTAAAGACTTACATGTTTCATTTCAAAGAAATAACAATGTAACAAAAATAGTAATTTTAGTAGTGTCAATATAATAGTAATAATAATAATAATAATAATAATAATAATAATAATAATAATAATAAAGAATCTCTTACTGGGCCTGATTAACATGATGACCATGATCAATTCTACCTCCTTCCACTAACAAAAGAAATCCTTTAGGATTACGAGACAGTATTTTGATAGTAGCTTCTGTCATGTCTGCTAAACTTGGCTGGTCTTGATTTTCAAGTTGATAAGCCATGTTACTCGGAGCAAACAAACCTTCAAGTCGAAAAATAACGATAAATCTGAATGAAACATAGAAAGCCAAATGACATTGATGGTAAATTAATATTTATTGAACTCATTAAATCTACATTTAAACAAGTATTAGTCGTCCAGCCATAATGAAGCCATAACAGTTGACAGTTATGTGAAAACTTTAAAGCTTTAAACACAATAATTTGTTGACAATGATTGAAAATTCACACACAGTGATAATGATGTTCATTTTAACGTTTGAACAATTCCTAATATCGTTGTTTGTCCAAAAAATCTTTATATTTAAACAGAAATGAATCACAAATCATCGCTAAGTATTCACAGTTCCACACATATTATGAGATGACAACTTAAAAGCAATGAAACATTACTTGAGGATAGTAAGACTTACCTAGAACGTAATCAACTGAGGACCAGTTAGTTCGTTTAAACTCATCGTTTGTATGTAAGAGAACATGCTTGCGATTCATTTTGGTCTGCATATCTTTCCATTCTTGTAGGAGGTTGCGTGAATCAGAGCGTTTTCCTTTTTTGTTAAAAGCTAGAGTGCTCGACTGGCCATAGAATTCGGTTGCCCCTCCTCCCATTACGACATTGACGTGAGAAGCGTTTGTTAATAGTTGTGCAGCAGCGTCTGTGCAGTGGAATCCGCGCTTGTTTGATGGGCTGAATGAGAAAGAGGAGAAATAAGCCATCTTGATGATATGAATGTGATGAAACTAGTGATTTGTAGTAACGTTCAAAAAAATTAAGGTATGAGTTTGGCGACATCTAGTCAGGAAATAGTATTCTGAAAGATGCCTTAAGTACATATTGTGTAGTTTGGATTTTGTGACATGAACAAAAAATAAGGTACAACCAAGATACTGATTGACGACCACAGGTCAGTGTATTTTTATATCACGACCCCGAAAATCGAAAGAACTCATGTTTTAAGTCTGTACAACTTTAACATCACGACTTTCAGACAAGAAATATACCATGTGCATTCTGTGTTAAATCATTAAACAAGAGTATCAGTACGTCAAATATTAACTTCCTAAGGGGTGTAGATGAAGCAAATTGTTAGTCTTTATTTTTGTTTTAACAAGTGTATTACTGAGATTAGACCTTAAAATGTTTACAAATTTTGTCAAGACAGATTGTAATTTTAATTTATGCGGTAAACTGAATAATAAAAATGGTCATGGTTGACACCAATAAAGATATATCGCTAAGATAATATTCAATCTACTTACTTTATGTTAGTATTGTAGTGCATTTATACGTCAATATAACTAATAAACAGTGGGGATTCTGTTGTAGTTAACAACAAGTTACGTCGTTAGTTATCCTGAATTTTGTGGTATCATTTGTAACACATTATAATAATTAGAAGCATTTGAATTAGTTTGTGAATTCGTCGTAGGCGCGCAATCAAGTACAAAGCAATCATCAATAATAAAACTACCACATACATGCATTCTACGATCCACTGACAAATACTGTATGTGGTCAAATAAGAAATCGCACTATAACAGATGATGGCTGATCTGAGAATGTTTCCTTTAGTTACGAATTTACATGGTAGTTGTCAGGAATCCATGGACCCAATTTTCGTGCTAGTTGGCATTCTTCAGCAAAGATTACACGAAATCTTGTGTGAACTAATGTTCTCTATATGGTCTTGACTCAATTAGACTAGTGGCAACATTACAACTTGATTCTTAGAATTTGCTTAGCACTAAATGATTAAATAAGCACGGCAATAGTCACTACCTGGTGATTAGGCGATAGTAAGTGTTTTAGTTTCTAATATTTTGGTTAAATTGGCACAACTGAGGACAGAGGACAACTAAAAAAACCCAATTTGTATCTATAAGTTTCTTATGTAATATCTTAGAAGATGATTTTGTCCTCGTATCATTTATAGACGTTTCTCGCAGTAGTTCTGTCACCCTATGTTTTAGCTTTACTAAATGATAAAATGTAATTTTTGTTCTACCAAAAGGTCTCTTTCACGGTGATGTATTTTCATTTTGAAGTCGATCACATAACATTTATAATTACATGCAGTAATCTTGTGAAATTTAATCTCAGTCTCACCAAAAGCTACATGAATAAGTGAAGTTCGAGCACGTGCATCCTGTTTACCCATCTCTTACAAATAAATCAACATCAGAAATTAATAATTTTCAAGAAGTGATATCTTTCAGTTCGAACTATCAATAATAACAAATATGCTTCCCAGTAGTATTTATGCTGATTTTTAACTGTTTCAATTATGTTGAGAAAAAAGGGAGGTACTACATTTCTCTAATTGATTCGTCAACAGTATATAACTAAAAAAAATGTAAATAAACTTCATGTTGATTGTTAATAAAATTAAATGGTTTGCTAATTTTCCGTTTGAGCTTCATTTCATCATTAGAGAAAATCAATAGGCTGAAGTTACTAAATACCAATCGATATACGTGTTGTCCAAATTATCTCCATAAGTGAGAAAACAAACATACAGGTAACCAACTTTAATTTACCTTCCTTCTCTAAAAGATAGCCTAAATAACATTAAAGTAACTAACCAACTAAATTGCAGAAAAAATTAAAATCTAAGCCTTGTGCTTAAAGTCAGTTATCTATATTTATTGTATCTTAACGACCAAACTATACGTGCTTTCCAGATTATTCGAATAAATTTCATTCCTGTTTAAAAAAACGAACAATGTCTCATACTTAAATGTATTTGTTGTGATAATAGAAGCTATTTTGTAATATATTGACAGAAGATTCATACGAAATCATAACAGATTCTGCATACTAAGCACATTCTAACGATTCGACATCAGGTGTTAGCTTCGGTTAAAGTATTTATTCAAAGAAGGCCATCTTTCATGAGTTATCTCACTGAGAAATAAGATTAATTTCCACTAATCATAATATCAGAAGCTCAGGAAACTAGTAAACAGATGAAAATTTGTTTATTCAATTGAAATCGAAAGTGTAATTGTTTTCGTGAATGGCTACTAGTTCTAAAGTTTGTATATCTAGTCAGAAAATTGATATAGTTAGCTTTCTCTGTATAGCTTTACACATTAGGATAGATAATTTCCTTTAACTAATAAGTAAATAAATAGCCATAATGATAAGAAAATATGTATTTACCATTTTATTCCACATTTTTTAATCGAAATCTATTTAAATCTCACGAATTTTGGGTTTTATTTACACGCTACAGTAAAACATTGTCTTCTAACAGTAATGCTTCTTAGTTTGCATTACACAAAACACTGACTAAAAACGGAGTTCATTGGTCTAGTTGGTCAAGCGCCCGGCGCGAGACTGATAGGTCCTGGGTTCGAATGATGCGAGGCGGGGTTGTGGATGAACACTGCTGAGGAGTCGCACAATAGGACGAAACGGCCGTCCAGTGCTTCCAGGTTTTCCTTGGTGGTCTATCGTCAGTTGACTCATGATCTCAACTGTTGAAATTACTACAATCTCTACAAAAACCTTCTTTTGATTACAATAAAAACATGCACACGTAATCTAGGTACTTTATCACATTAAAACTAAACGTAAATGTAAAATCATTGTCTAACATAATTTGCACTCACCCTACTGACTCCCAATCTCGATGTAATATATTGGCATATGCTGCTGCAGGTGTTGCATGAGTAACCCTCGTAGTTGTTACTATTCCAGTGGAAAATCCTGCTTTAGAGGCATACATGAGAGAAGATTTCGCTCTTTCCACTTCTGTTAACTCAGTACATTCACAGCACTTCACTGTTCCCGTGATACCAACAGTGCCATCTGGTCCTTTTACACCTGAAAATGTTTTAATCAATATAACATGTAGCTGAAATATCTCATCAATTAAAACAACAGAAAACTAAATTGCTATGTGTGCGCTTTTGCATACAACTCATCATAATAAATCCATTCATCTTTGATAGTATAATGATTTGCTCATAGACTAGCAACTTACACTTACCACTCAAGTTAAATCAACATTCCTTTGACTTATATCAGTGAACTATGAAAACTGTATTTGATACTTAACCTTCTGAAGTCTCAATGTGTACACTTCAAAACATGTTCTTTGTTTGAAATGTACTTTTATTATTATTATTAGTGATGGCCATATTTAATATTATATTTTGGTACAATATAGAATTCGATTCTTCGAAGAGTATTTAGTATTTCAAAAGTTTTAGTCCAGCATATTTTTCATTATTGACAAATATCAAATGGGAAACATTGTAGAAGAAGTATCACTGTCCACTGGTTATTCGCCTTAATTTAGCTCATGAATTCATAATCACATGGAGAATAACATTATTGAATCACTCAGATGTGAGCTAATGGTTTTCGGTTACTGATTTCAATCAATTTGATGTGATCATTACTGTTAATCGATAACTAATTAATTTTCTACCTAATTGGCTCTATATGGCTTAACCTCCCATACGAACTCCATCGAAGCTCATAATAAGGTGAACCACAAAGAGGAGATGAGTTTTTATCTTTACTGCAATCGACTTTCTCCAGATTATAAAATTATGGGAAACTCGGATCAGTATAAGTACTCAATGGAGTGCGAACTTCATTAGTGGATATGGGATAATTAAATACTGATCAGAAACATCAAAATCGATTTGTACCACACCTACGTGGATCTGAATAACATCTCCCATAAAAGGTAATCAATTTGACTTGTATGTGGAACTAATTATATATTTATCTATTCTCCCGAAGAATTACTGAAGCAATTTAATAAACAAGACTATCTACAGAATAGTGTCTCACAAAACATTTCAAGTGGATCTAAATTCATTTGCTTCAAATATACACACTGTTCAATAATCGACGGAACGTTTCGATTATTATTACACAGGGTGTATATTGTTATCTATTAGCAAATTATTCTATCATAGCAATGTTTAAAAATAACCTCCCGGCACACACAAATGATTCTTTCTTCAATACTTAAAATACTAGGACTCATTGATTTGGTAATATAGTGAATAAAATATAACAATGTAATTACAATAAGGCATGTAGTAGTAACTGTTTCATTAAAAACATTAGTTCACCTCACAACTTACCTGACATAAAAGCAGTTGCCGCAGAACCTGAATCTGTCGTCAGTCTGTCTGAGTTGAATGTACGGACAAGTGATGCAACAGGCCAGTTTTCCCATTCTAACTGTACATCACCACCAAAAAGATTCATCTTCTTCGCTTTCAAATATCTTGCTCCAGTAACAGTGCTCAAGCTCATACCATCACCAATAAATAAGATGATATTTTTTGGTCGTTTGAGTGATGAGTAATATAATGATTGTTCAAATGTACTAAATCTCTCAACTGCCAACCTCTTCCAAGTTTCCGGATCTGTTACATCCAATAATGACGATTTACACTCAATTTTATACTGTGATAGTATGACTGCTATGAAAAATAGCAAGCATTTCGGAACTGTCGATAAGACGGTAGGAAGCATATCTTCGACTTACGAGGTCTACAACTTTTGTCGTTTGATTTGGTTCGTTTAAATACTGTTTCACAAACCGAAACTTGCTAACACTTTGTCATACACTGATTTCTCATTGGCTCATTTTTGGATTATCTAACAAATATGTGTAAATTGTAGACTTCAACCAATAACATGGTGCGGATGGCATCCATTATTCTAAACTTCAATGGGTTAGTTTAATTGATGTTGAACTAAACATTATGTTAAATTGTTTATTCTCGGTAATAGTTTTATTATTCTACTTATCAGGACTAAGTCAATCGATGGTTTTATGCCCTAAATACTGCTTTTGATGCAAGATGTTGCTGAAAATAAAGTTAGATGATAGTGAATATTGCAGCAGTGAAAGATCATATATGCCACATAGTATTTTTATGAACTAATGATTTCTTTGTACTGAATATCTGTCTGACTTCAAATTCCAAATGCAATACATTCGTTCGTGCTCATTTAATACTTCTTGTTTAAATTAAGTAACTAATGGAATTCTTAGTTTTTACTATACTTCAAGTACTTATAATTATCACATTGGCATCGCGTTAGAGCCAGTGATTTAACAGTTGGACATTCATTCAACTTCTGAAGCTTTTGAGGATTATTTGGAAAGGTTTAAAATCTGGAACATGACCAAGAATGATGTGATAAAATTGTGGCGCCTTGTTTTACATTTATTGGAAAAGAAACATGCAGTTTATAAAAAACTTTGGTATATCCAGAAGAGCCCATCTCACTTTTTTATGCAACTCTTAAGGAACTACTATTAAATCATGTAAATTGCACCAATTTCGCATGTCGTACGAGAGCAAAGTTTCTTAAGATAATTCGTCCGAATAACCAAAACGTTAAGGAATTCATCAATGAATTGCAAAAACAAGCTGCCAAATGCAGTTTTGGTGATCACCTTCATGTGCAGCTGTGGCATCGAATAATTGCAAGGATTAACATACCAGTTCTGGAAAAAGAGCTGTTAAGAATGCCGAAATTATGCTTCCAATATGCTAGAACTGCATGTATTAGCTACGAAGCAATGAATGAACTTGATATCCAATCGGTGAAAATTTCTAATATTTTGCCCAGTCGTCATGATGGAATACAATCTCAGAGTCAATCAAATTTGCGTTTGTTTAATAGTGATTCGTATTCTCGTGAAAATATGAATATGATGCAACAAGGAATCGCAAAGCAAGCCACGAAGGTGAGAGCAAGTTTAGTAAATGTCTATCCTATGGCAAATTTCATTCTCGTAATTCAGTTGCATTTCTTAATGCTAAATGTTTAAATGTGGTACTATAGGACACATTCAGTCAGTATACAAAACTACTATTCATTTTGCTTCAAGCAGTACTAAACCTTGTAATTTAGATCTCATTAATACAGTTGTTCCTAATGATCATTTATCTTTATCCGCCATTTCTAAAGGCATTGTTCATATTCGAAAGGGTGTAGGACCAGTGAAATATCACTGAGCCCCAGCCAAATCATCCGGCAGTTAGGTCACTAAGTATCGAACAGTTAATTGATCCCGTCTATGTCAAGGACAACCAACGCGCCTTCGTTAATCGTACGTCATGGACTGGGGCATGCGGTGGTGGCCACACTTTCGCTTGTACCTACTTTAATTAATATATTTATGTAATAACGTCCTTTGTGTTTTACAATCATTAAGGCGTCCAAAGTGCCTTGATACGACGAAGAGGTAATCCACCTTAAATGCTGACAGCGAGGTGTAACTTCGACGTTAGCTCTTAATCACACTATTCCCGTCTAACTCGAACAAGCTCCCATTCATTCAGCAAAGATCACCTACGTTGGTGATCTACAAGGGATTATATGCATCACTCAGTTCATTTCATGACTTTATTGTGGACACAAGCAGCACTAGTTTCCAAAAACATTTTGATGCTTTATTTAAGGATTTCATAGCTACATGTGCTAAGTGCAGTGAAGGTATGAAAACTCAGCCTATAAAACTTCAAGTACAGGGTGATCCAGTCTTTCTTAGGAGGTGAATAATTCCTTATGATCTTCGAGAAATAGTACATAAGACATTGAAGTATAATTGAACCGATTCAGTCTTGAGCATGAGGGGAACCTATTGTCACGCCACTGAAGTCGGATGGCAAGACACCTAGAATATGTGGTGACTAAAGATTAACACTAAACTCCTGATTGTTGAAGCAAATATACACGTCGGTAGAGACTGAAGATATTCTAAATCGACTTTATGGTTCTAAAATGTTCTCGAAATTTGACTTGAAAGATGATTATCTTCAAGTCCGCTTAGGTTAATTTTCATCTATTTTAACAACATTTAAAACTCCTTTTGGTCTGTTCAAATACAATTTCCTTCCATTTGGTCTAAGTTGTTCTCCAGCCATATTTCAGGAAGTGATGAATATGAAAGTTAATGATCTTGAAGGTATTGAAGTTTATCAAGACGATCTCATTGTTCATGGTTCTGATAAGGTAACTTATGACCACAGATTTATTGCTTCATTACGTCGTTTAATCGAGAAGAATATCACGGTGAATCTAAATAAGTGTTCATGTTGTGCATGTAGTTTTGAATATCTTGGGTACCTAGTTGATGGTAATGGTTTCAGACCAGATATGAAACGACTAGCTCCACTGACAAATGCACCGTCTCCAAAAAACCTTACAGAACTACACTCAATAGTGTGTGCTCTTCAATACTATTCCCGTTTTATTCCTAATTTTTCTTGTCGTGCAAATTGTTTATTTAATATTTTGATATCCAATTCATCCAAATACAGTGAGGAAGAAGAGGCGTGCTTACCGAGTTTGTTAAAGTTTCTTCAAAGTGATGCTGTTCTTCGAACTTACTCCCCTAGTGTACATTCTATACTTAATACTGATGCATCACCTGTCGGAATTTGTGCAGTTTTGGAGTAGGAAGGTAGGCCAGTTATCTGTGTTTCACGCAAACTTACTGTTACTGAACAAAGTTATTCACAGACTCAGCGAGGATCATTAGCTGTGTTTCAGACTGTCAAACGACTTCATAAATATTTGTTCGGAAAAAAATTCACCATTGTTACTGATCATGAAGCTTCAAAGATCATTTATCGTACTGAAAAATCCGTAGCACGTTCCTCAGTTGCTATGGTCCAACGAAGGAGCATTGCTTTAAATTCCTCTGAGTTTACGGTTCATCACAGGGGTGTTTAAAAAAATCAACAGGTTGACTACAGGTCCGGGTAATCATGACAAGATAGACTTGTTGATACTTCAAACTGTTTGTTAGTGCAAACTTTGCCGGTGAGACGTCCAGATCTCATTAGAGAAACTCGTAGATACTTTGGATGTATACTTAGTGCTATACAGAAAGGTTGGAATGCTAACGTGAAACGTATATTTCCTGTCTATTTTTTCAAATCGGGATAAGTTATCCACTACCCCTGATGGTATTTTGTACTTAAATAAGCGTGTCCTTATTCCTTCTTTACTACGTAAATCTGTCTTCATAGGGGACATATAGGTGTTGAGAAAATAAAATTCTTCGCAAGGTTCATATGTTGGTTGCCAGAGATAAATGCAGATATACGTCGTATAGCAAGCAATGGTACAAAATGTCGTAAGTTGAAAATTAAACGTTCGAAGTGGTCTTCATGGCCAGCATCGTCTGAAAATTCATGCACACTATTGTGGTTCATATCTTTGCATATAGTATGCACTTGCAGTCATTGATTCTTTTACGAAGTGGCCTGAGATTTCAAGAGAAAACGAAAAACCGATTACAGAAACTTAGATTCAAATATAAGCTGTGGCGGTTGTGGTGTTTGTATGAATTAATTATTTTTTTGTACTATCCAATTTCGAATTGAAAATACAATACGTCTGTTCCAACTGATCTAATACTTCTTGGTTAAATTGGGTTATTTCTGAGTATATATAACAATACAGATACTTCTACTCATCACATATATGTATATTCATATTGCTTTCATTATAAGCTTTCGTTTGACCAAGTGGCTACCATTATACGTTTTTTCATTCTGAGGTCATTCCCAACCTATTACTGACAGTCTCTCACACTCACAGACACTTTCGGATTGATCTAGTACATTTCTTATCCCTTATTCTCTGATGTGATACGGTCTGACTTGCTTGTATATTCACTATGTATGTCTGAAATATATGACTCATACAGTGGAAGATGAGATTGTGTCTTGAGCTCAATGAGCAGTGAAAGGCAAGAGTAATCAATAGAGAATCAGAGCCGAATCTAGGCTGCTCATACTAGTTAATACGTCACTGGCTTGGCACAGAGCCAGGGTCAAATAAGTCAGTATTATATTGGCGATTTAGTCACGTGATATTTGTAGGTCTACAGAACATAACAGACCTTTCTGTCTTTCAAAGGTCTAGTCAGTTCTACGCTAGTCACAGACTTTGAAGATATGAAGAGATTAGTAAATGGGTAGCTCCTGACACAAATGCCAAACATTTTAGTGAGAAGAAGCAGAAGCGAAATTGTTTAGAGGCTGGTTTTTGTGCTTAATCGCCGTGTGGTTGGAGTATAACATGACAGGGAACTATTGCGGGAATGACATTCAAACATACATAGAACCTTTATTGATTTGTACACCAAATACCACTGATACAATTAAACACAGCCGCCTCATTGATCTGTAGTTGCTGATCCTATGTCGAGCCCACATAATTTATTTTAGCTT